GTCTTTCCCCCCAACTTCAGTTATCATTTACCTGCTCAATGTTTATCACTTTATTACACTGCACATAAATAAATCACTGCTTGCACTGAAGTCGGCTACCTGGGTCAGCATCTAAATCGCTCACTCACTTCCGTGTGTGAGTGTTTACCTTAACATGAATCTTGAATCTTCAATGACTGAACCTCAACTACTGGGTCTGCAGAGGAAGACGGAGACTGTGGACCTATGCACTTAGCTTTACATAAAACACCCATTCGCTGCTTTGTGAAAACAAAAATATTTCAGCATTTCCATTTAATTCCATTCTTTCTTTCACAAATGTTTTAACTGACACTTCTTTCAGTGTTTTAACTATTTCGGATGTTTAAATTACAAATTGAATAATGTAAGTTTTCTACTGAAAATTAAGTATTTTCTAGTTCCCAGTACAATGTTAAGTCAACTGATGCATTTCAACTGAACAGATTTCTGACTTTCATGAAGTAAACCTAATTTCCGTGATAGCACTGCATTCTCCAGTGAGCAACTTAGGCGTTCAGTGTTCTGACCAAACCAGTGCTGGAGAATGCTAATTGGAGTAGAAAAGTCAGTTCTCTCTATTCCAGTCTTGCACTTTTTTTGTGGGTTTGTGTTATACCTCCTGCTGGCCAGACTCCTTCCCTGTATCCTTTCAAAGCAAAAAGCTACCAAAGAACAGCAGCACAACTGTAGCACTGGCTAAGTACCCAGGGAGGGGCAAAATTCAGAGATAATACATGCTTCCCTTAGAAATACCTTTATGTTCTCAATAAAGGGTTTACAACATGGAGCTGGACTATAAGAAGCTATTCTTTGAATATAACAAGCTATGTCTGAGTGTATGCCAGAGAAGGTAAATGGATGAAAGACATGGGAGATAAAGTGGAAAGTACAGAGACAATAAAGGAAGTGAAATGCAGTGGATAACAGCTTCTCCTCGTATTCCTGATTCATCTGTTACAAAAGCCTTTTTTTGTTTTGTTTTGTCATCCTTTCTACAAATAAAAACCCTTCTCCCTTGTGATAAAACAGGGTCATGCAACTATTACCCAGCATGCCTCACAGAACATCATTATGATATCGAGTAGTTGCAGTTGCATGTTTATGTCCATTGTCATCCACTGCCTGGAGTGTCACTGAGAAACAAAAGAAAAAAAAAAACAGCCCATCCCAAATGTCTTCTTCAGTTTAACGTGGAACAAATCTCACTAATGGACTGGCATTTTTGAAAGTCTTAATGAGAAAAAGAGGTGGAAAAAAACTTATGTTGTAACTTGTAAATCATGCCGAGGATGACCGCCCGCGGTGATGAGAAATAGACATGAGATAATGAGCATTAAATTTGCACAATATACACCATGGCACAGATGAAGCTTCTTGAAAGCAATCTTTATCACTATAGGAGTGTGCAGGCTACAGATAGGCAACACTTCTGCAGAAACCAGAGGGAATCAGATTGCTGATAACAAAAGGCGTCTGTTTTCGTTAAGAAGAGATTGAAATTGAACAAACTCAGTTTTCTGACTTGAACCTTGTGTTGAACTCAAAACATGATAAATTAGTTGGATTAAGAGCGATGCCCTTGAGATGTGTGCAGAACTGGTCCTGTCAAAATCTCACTGCTGATTTACATAATGTTGATCTGAATTTGGGGGCTGCTGCAGTGCACTCTGCTACTTTGGCAAAAAATGTAAATATTGACCTTTTCTTGTCATGCTTAATGGTTTTATAGTCAGAGCTCTGCGGCATGAAATAACTGACACTGATGATGTGTTTGTGGGTCTAGGTGGGCTTTGATGTCAGGTTCTGATTTCAAACACCGCTATGCCACTGGAGGGGTGCCATAAAAATGAAATGCTAGTGCTTTTCAGCCATTTTCCGAATGCCTTTCAACAATTCAAAAATGTCACATAGAGAGAGACACAGAGAGGAGTAAACCTGTCCAGTTCCAGCCCCCCTGAACCAACCCCTGATGTATGAAATGGACAGTAACTGATGTGCCTGCAACCACACAAGTTCAACATTAGTTCTCCAGCTTCATTTTACACCGATCAGCCATAGCATTATGACCACCTGCCTAATACTGTATAGGAGTCAATGGGGCTGTTGTTTAGCACTCATGTCACTCTGCAGCTCACTGTGCATCTTCTGTGAATGTGCTTGCATAGTTCTACTGAGGAAGAGCTCAAATGTGTCGCCCGTTGAGAAAAAAACTTATGTAAAAGGAGTGAAAACTGTGGTCGTGGGGACGAGTTAGAGAGAATTGTTGAGACAAGTTCAACAGCCTCCCCACTCTAGGTGTGATATCACCACTGCTGAATATTTCTCTTCATAGAGACCAATAGACAGTATTTCTCTTTTTCCACCATTTTAACAACAATTCAGGCAAAACAGAATCTTATGAAAAGGATGAATGAAATTTAAAAGTTTAATCTACAGGAGGTGGACCTCATCATCAGTGAGTCATAGGCGTCCATGACCCTGTCGCTGGATCACTCTTTGTCCTTCCTTAGACACTGTTGGTAGGTACTGACCACTGACACCCAACAAGACCGGCAGTGTGGGAGATGCTCTAACCCAGTTGTTTAAACATTACAGTTTGGCCCTTGTCAAAGTCCCTCAGATCCTTATGCATGGCTGTTTTTCCTGCTTCCAACACATCAACTTTGAGGACTGAATGTTCACTTGCTGCCTAATATACTCCACACACTGACAAGTGCCACTGTAACAAGATAATCAGTGTTATTATGGAATGGGCTGAGCCCATTCCTCTATTCCCTTTTCACCCATGACTGCAGGCCTGTGCATGGCTCCAACACCATCATCAAGTTTGCAGACGACACCATGGTGATCGGCCTCATCAGCAACAAGGACGAGTCAGCCTACAGGGAGGAGATACAGCACCTGGCTGTGTGGTGCGCTGACAATAACCTGTTCCTTAACACCGACAAGACCAAGGAGCTCATTGTGGACTACAGGAGGGAGAAAGGAGGCACACATGACCCAATTCATATTTACAGGATGGTTGTTGAACGTGTCTCCAGCTTCAAATTCCTGGGCACCCAGGATCTGTCCTGGACCACCAAAACCCACAGCCTGGTTAAGAAGGCTCACCAGTGCCTCTTCTTCCTGAGGACACTGAAGAAGAACCACCTGTCTTCAGCCATC